ATTGAGTCTGAGTGTGATGGCAAGAGCCTGTAATCCCAGCACTTGGGAGGCTGTAAACAGGAGATTCACTATGAGTCCAATGTACTAGTGAGACCCTGAACACACTGTAGACCATTCCCTAAAATACAGAGAGAAAAAAAAAAAAAGGAAAGAAATTGGCTGTGTAGGATAAACAAAATTATATAGGAGTTTAGACAAAGGACAGCTCGTACTAGAGAGTGACGCTGGGATACTTTGTCTTATGCACCAAGTTCATCCTGAGGTCTATTTCTGAATGATCAATGAAGTAAAAGTGGTTTTCAAACTTTAATATGAACTAAAGAATGCAGAAACTATGTGTGACCTGAAAGGCCTAAAATATTCAATGTCTGCTACTTTACATTAAAAGTTTGTAGATACCTGTTCCCAATCTAATAGACAAAGAAAGCACTATAGATGATGAATTACCTGGACATTCAACTGAAAGAGGTGGAATGGGAGAAAGGCACTCAGAAAAGAGAATGACTTGGCTAAAAGGATGAGGGCAAGGGGCTTCAGAGCACATTTGGAGACCAATGGTAACAAATCCCATTTGACAGAACTAGGAGGTTTGTGAAGAGGAAAGTTGAAGGGGGTTTGGAAAAGCTACCCATGGGCAGGGCTGAAGGAGTGAACTATGCAGTGACAGAAGACAGAATGAATGTCTGGAGTTTTTCCAGTGGCCTCTCTTCAAGGTCTGTAAGGATGAGAGTGAAAATGATTTTTCACAGCAAAGCAATATAGAAATGTAACTTTTTCACTTAATTTGGCTTTTTTGGTACTGGGGATTGAACTCAGGACTCTGTACTTGCCAGACAGGCACTTATTCTACTGAGCTATCTCCCCAGCCCAGAGCTATCTCCTCAGCCCAGAAATGTAGCTTTTTCAGGAACAGAAAGCTTCAAGTTTATTTTCAGCTTTAGTAGATAGTGACATTTTTCCAACAGTGGTTGTACCAATTTACACTCCCATCAGCACTATAAGAGAGTTCTTGTTTAATTTCCCTTGATACTTAAACTTGTCCAGAAGATAGAAATAAATGAGAACTTCTGAATGTACTCTACAAACCTAAATAGTAATGCAATTTTTATGACAGATGTGGATGAAATCCATGCTTCATTCTGGCCACTAAATAACTTATTAGTACAATATATATTCTCTTAACCTCCACCCAAACTCTAAGCTGGTGCTTGCAAACACTTTGCTTTACTATTGCTCATCTCAACCACCTTGCTCCCTGAAAATGTGATTTAAAATAAGAATTCAGACAGACACCTCCAGAGTAGCTTTGTTTCACATGACACTATGTTATTAATGTATGGCACTATATTATTAATAATATTCACCAACAAGTCTCAGACCCACTATTCCACCCTCATTTAGTGCTAATTTCCAGCAATCAAATAATTGTACTTGTCTGTCTGGTTGGAACATAAGATGCACTTACACAGATTATTCTCTTGGTCAGTTCCATTTGCTGACAGCTCAGCAGGGAGGGACTGATTTATTCAATACATAAAGCTCTGTATGCATTTGAAACCCTGGCTTGGGAGAAAGGAAAAAAGACTGAGGAAGAAGACAATGGCACAGATATGCTAAGATGGAGTGGAATGATCGGTTGGGA